GGAGGAACAGGTTGCAGCAGAGCTGAGCGGTGGCCTGCCCGCCGCGGGAGCTGTCCAAGGACCGAACTTGCTTACTGTGGACTCGTCTTCCTCTTCCACTCCAACAGCGGGCTCCGCGGGGCAGGGGAGAAGGGGCGGGCGGAGAGGCGGAGAGAGCAGAGGGCGGGCTGGGAGGAGCGGGGATGGAGCCGGAAGGACCCTAGCCAACGGCCTGGAGGTCCCTGGGATGCAGGACTGGTTTGGCTGACTGAGCCAGAGGGTAGAGGACCAACACCTCTGCAAAGGTCCGGGAGAGTGGCCGTTCCCCAAGTGAGGCCAAGAGGAGAGGGGCGGGTGCCGCGGGGGCCTCTCTGCAGGAGCAGAGGCCTGGCGGAGGCACATAGGCACGCTTGCATGCACTGGCGCCTGCTGTGCAGGGGCCAGGTCCATGCGCTGCCTGGCCTGCTGCCCTAACCCGGAGTCCACGCCTTTGCGCCCTGCACAGGGTGTACCGGGTCGAGTCCGTGCTCCAACGGAGCTCCCAAACTCCACAAATGCTGCCCAGGGATTTCCACAGAGGAAGCATCCAATCTGTAACTCCCCACTTAGCAGCCTGGAGGTCCCCTGAAGGACCCTAGGACTTCTGGGGGCGCCACAATCTGGTGTAGGTACCCGTTACCAGCATGAGTATCTACCCTCACTCCCTCCCTCTCCAAACAGGGCGATCTGGGGCAGCCTCTTGGATTTGGCTGTAGCTCCTAGAAGGGTGGTCCAGACGTTGGGGCCCTAGATGGCGAGTTCTGGACTAAAACTACCCTCCTCGAAATCTCCTTAACAATCAGGAGGGTCCTCCCATTCCTATTTTTACCCCCACACTGACTTCCTCAAACCCACTACGTTAATGAAGATAAAAACAGAATCAGTATGTGAGCTGCAGAAGTGGGTAAGGTGGACTCTAAGCTCTAGAGAAAGGCCCCCTAAGTTTAGCAACCAAGCCCTTCACCACAAGTGACTCTGGTTTTTGGATCAAGGACAGATACCAATTGTCCCTTTCCATGTCCACTAGCTAGAACACACCTTCCACTTTTCCTGCCTTGGCCTCAACAACACAGTCCTATCCAAACATTCCCTACCCAGGCAATGGAAGAGGAGTTTCTTCCCTCCCCCTTCTCTTGGAAATCTGGGTGAATCTGGCTTCCCTCCTATGAAAGGCAGTGTCTCTGTGTGAGGTGACCTGGTGGGAGGGGAGGTGGGTCTGAGTGAGGGCCATGTGTGTTCCTACGTGTATGTTTCTGTGTGAGAACAAGGCCATGTGAGCACTGACAAGGGTCTTCTGTGTGCGAATGTATGTGCATGTGTGAAGGGAGATTCTTTGAGTTCTGGAAAACCAAAGGACTGGTCTCAACACGTCCACCCCGCCAGGCACTGCTGCTCTTGGGGACAGCATGTTGACCTTTTGATGCAGGGGAGCCCATTTCAGGGCAAATTATGGTTAAAGGTGAGTCAGTTCTGATCAGTATAGGGTTTTCACATGGCTGCCTCACCCTGTTCTTCTGCCTACCTTAACTGGAGGGTCCTTTTCTGTCTTAATCCCTAGTCAGAAGGAAAGGGAAGATGATGCCATGAACCATGAAGCCCCCTCATCCTGTTAGTCATTGAGAGCCAGTCCCCAGTGGCTGTCTCAGGAACCCCGTAATATATAGTATCCGAAAGGGCGTTCAGAAAGGACCATGATCCATGGCACAAAATGCATTCAAATCATTCATTTGGCAAATATTTTTGAGCACCAGGCACTGTTTTAGTCACTACAGATACAATAATGAACAAAACAGATGACAAAAATAACGTGTCCTCTCCTTGGATGAAATCAGTTGCCTCAACCTGACTGGCTAGAATGCTTGATGGGCCTCCTCCTCACACCGCGACTTCACCCCTGCCCTTCGTGTCCCGGCCCTAGCATGCTGGACAGTGGCAGGCCTGTCTGTTCCTGCTCAGAGGAAGCAGGGCTCACCAAAGTTTTTCCTCCCAGAAGAGGTTCTTGGGTGATCAGGAACCCTTGGCTTGTGTCTTCAATGTTCCCCACTCAGCAGAGACCCAACACTCATGCCCCCTCCTCTCTCTACAGTGTCCTGTGTCCTCTGTGGCTGCAGGACAGGGTTTTACACACAGAAATGTGAGGACACACTGGAGCTGAGACTTGCCTTCCTGCCTTCTGAGGAGACACGGATCACAAATGCACGGGTTGGGGATAGTATTGAAGACCCTTAGGGGTAGGAACTCTTCCACAGGGGTTATAAATGGGAATTCTTGCAGCCCAGGGGGACAGAGGCAAACATGATGGCACAAATGGCTTTGGGAGTGGACTTGGCCTAAGGGAGGAAGGCACACGCTCACATTCCCCCAACCTGGCATTCACAGCTCTTAAAACTTCGGAGATCTATGAACCGCTTTCATGTTCTCCAATGCCTCCATTCTCCCAGCCCCCAGAGGACTGACATCTTAACAGCTAAACGGTACCTTATGTGTGTTTAATAGTTTTCAGTTTACACAGACCTCATTCTAAACCTCTGAGCTCAGCCTGGCAACCCATGTTTTATGACTCTGATTTGGTGGACAAACCAGCAGTTTCAGGAACGTTAAGCAGTTGGCCCACATCTGGTAAGAGGCAGAGTTTGGACTTCTTACAGCTCCTCTGACTTCCATTTTATGGCTCTCTCGGATATCCATACGAACCTCTTCTGGGCAGTAATAGTATTAATTCCAAACTGTTCATCGTCCAAAGAAGAAACTGTATGATCATGCTAAGCCTATGGGAACACCATGCTTATCATCCTCAAGCTACATTGGATCTGTGCCGAGCGCCCCCGGGACCATGCTGGGAAGATGCTTAACCGGGAGTACATCCACTGTCCTCCAGACCCAGGAGGATCCTGAGAAAACACCTGAGAGCAGGTCGTTACCATACGGCTCTTCCTAGGGGAACCTGGTGTGCATTCTGCCTCTGGGGTCCCCAGTTCCACTGTCCACTTAAAGACCCACAAATGGAGATGCAGAAAATCAGCAGTTGGTTATAACAGATTGGAAACCCTGGTTTCCAAATGCCCCTTTCCAGCCAGGAGGCAGAAGCCATATTTTCCTGTTGTTAGAGCACCATCTACTGGTCACTTGTGAGCACATCACTGTGAGCTCAGGTACCACTCAGGCACCACACCTCAGAGCCTAGCCCTAGACATTCCTAAAGAAGTGACCACTTGTCATCTGCCCTCTACCCCCGTTTGAGATGGCTGAGGCCCAAACCCAAAACTTCCCCACAATGCAACCAGCACATCTCACAGTACTTGGAAAGTGCAGCCACACACACTGTGCGCAAGGTCAACACACACACACACACACACACACACACACACACACACACACAGTTAAGATAGTACAGTCGAATGCTCTACATGCTATCTTTGCAAGCAGTTACCTGCAAACTAGAAACCCAAAGGATCTGAGGAAGCAAGTGAAAAACTTTTCTAAAGTAATCAAAGCTTTCACCCCTGAGCCCCTCCACACCATGTCCCATGCAAAGTGCAAGCGGGAAGGGAATGGGAAAAGGAGGGAGACTAAGGTGGCTACACTCCCTCAGACCAGGTAGGCCACGGGAGCTTGTACTGATAGACAGATGTGAGTGGCAAGGTTGGAGAAGCACGTAGCCTATGTCTAGCTCCTCCCAGATCTGTCAGGCTGTGGGCCATCTCCACAGGAGATTTTCAGCCCATCTCTGAGGAGTCTGCAAATCTAACCTCACCCAAAAGGCGTGGGCCCCTCCCGCCGGCCCCACTCCCTCATCTCTCTATACCCTTTATGCCAAAGCTGTCAGAACCCCTTTTGTTCTCTTTTTCCGCTGTTGAGCTTTTCTGAGAAATAGGCTCTGATGCAAAGCCGTGCTCTATGACACATGATGCAGAGAGGACTTGGGAGGGGGT